GGGGCTCCGTCTTTATCCATCTCCCCAGCTTATGCGTAATACATCGTAATACTCAGGATAGTGACAGGTAGCAGTTGCTTGATAAACCGCACGCTTCAGGACTTTTGGCCTGGTTAGGGATTGGTGCTGCTGCATGTTGTGCTTCCAGAGCTCTTGTTTCAGGCTTCTGTTGAAGCACTGGCTGCATTGCATTCACTCCGTGAGATACGTCAGCAACCCACCCAGCAACGGTGGCGGAATAGCAATGTATAGGAACGCTAAAAGAATTACTATTATCCCCTATGGGGGATGATGGGGGGGGGTTGAGGCCTCCTACAGTAACTGGTGTTGGAAGTTGTCCTCGATTGCACTGACAGTTTGGCAGTGTTTCTCTTCTCGCCACGGCCCCTCCCTAAAACTAAAGCCCTGAACCGGGCCCCCACTACGAAGCCTACTCCTGAAACCCTTCTTCAAACAGTGGGAGGAAAGTTCATAGAAATCGTTTGCTCGTGAGAGTCCCAAAGAGCCGTGGCTTACTTCGTGGAAGCTAACCCCTCAAAGTATACGAAACACTGAGTAGGCTTTACATCCTCCTCCTCCTTGCAGGTTCACGTCCTCGCTGGGAAGCATCGCCGCAGCCGTGTCCTATGCTGCAGAGGCCAGACCCTGAGCAACCAGTGCTCTCCGGAGCCGTGAGAGGCTCAACAACAAAATGAACCCTGTCTTTTGGCGACAGGAAATCTTCCGCTGCCCAATACATCTTACACCGCAGACATTTCCCAATAGCGGGTCATGGCAACATACTAGTTCAATAGCTGAAGTCCTGCTGGTGAAGGTCAAAGGTGTACTGGGGTCATTTTTGGATACAGCTTGTACGGTTTCTGACCTTAGAAAACACATAAAGAAAAAGTTATAGTTTACCGCACCTCAAAAAAGGAGCCAGCTATGGCTCTACGGTTTGTGCTCCTACCATACGGTTGCTACAAACACCCCGCATTAACCTGAGCACTCTATACTCTATACTTGGGAAATCATGGTACCTCGGCATGATGAGGTCATACAGGGGTTTCAGTATCAAGAATATGTGTGTGAAGGCTAGAACCTTTATACAGTCCACCCACCACGAAAATGAATCCTAAGATGAGTCAGACTCGCCCCCATACCTAGACCTGTATAATACCCTACACCCATTTTTCAGGGTACCTAACTTTGTTCATAGCAGGTAATGGGAACAAAGCGGTATGCCCAGAAAAGGGGGTGGTGTAAACGTGTCTAGGTATCGGTGAGAACTCACTGCTGATTATGCCTTGGAAAGCAGTGTCTGTTGACATGCTTAGTGCATAGACTCGCAGATTTTGCAATGGAAAGTAGTTGTTCGATGAGCGTGAGAAGTGTGCATTTCTCCAAAGGCTTTCCAGGCTTGACCTGACATACCTATGACTGACAGTACTTCAGGGAGCCACGAACATTCAGCAGCAAGTTACACCTCCATGCAAGGCCCCAGGGCAGCATGAAACACTGTTAATAAACCTGCACTGCACGGTACGGTGACACTGTCTGATTTTCAACCCCTCTAATCTAGGTACCTGCTGGAGCTCTATTGTGCTTCAGAAGGGTTTTTGATGGAGACAATCTTGCAAGCTTTGGGGTACCTTGGGCTGCCTAGCATACGTAGGTGGGCCTCAAGCACAGATTTGTTTTGGCAATTTGCTCATGGCACGTGCACTTCGTCAGGCCTTATCGATGTCTGGCAAAGTGCTGGAGGCTTCGGCTTTGTCACGATTCACTGGCGGGGTTTTCTCGGCTATGGCAGATTACTCGCCGTTAGAGGGGGATTGTACAAGGCAATGTAGTATCTCTAGCGCGGGGTTTCTCAGGATCCTGTCCCTTCTTTGGCGGCCTGTGCAGTACTTGGGGATGGAGAACATGGGGGGCGGAAATTACGTAGTTTTGTCAGTAGGGACAGCTGAATTCTTTGAATCCGATGATGTGCTGCGTTGATGGGGGCTGTTGCAGGTCTTTCTCCAAAGCGGACATGCTGAGAACATTCTTCTCCAGCCACCATACTCCAAAATGATAGCTAGACCCCAAGCTCCAAACGCACGACCCTCAATCCTACATCCTCAGCCGTATATACGGCCTAAACACGAGAACCTCACGCAAGTTTGGAACAGGTGTGCTGCGCTTCCTCTAGCCATTCCAGTGGCAAAAGCCTATATAGTCCACCCAATCCTGCATCAACTGTTTCTCTGCATTGCCAGCACTGCTCCGCGTTCGGAAATTCTTCAGAGCTGTCTAAGAGACTTTAAAATTTGATCATCGACATTGCGCGACGAAAAAGAGCATTTTGCAACCCCCTTTATGACCCCTCGGCCACTCGTCGCGGACGGCCCGCCTTCCTATCAAGCCCTACTAAAAGGGCCCCAAGGGAGCTTCTTACCCGTCTTCCTACGCGGGGTTGGTAAATATTTCCGTGGTGAAGGCAAGAACGTTGGTATGCAGCTTCGGCGAGAAGACTTTCTGCAAAGCCGTGCAGCAGCAGGCCTGTGCATATTTGGGTTTAGATTCAGGGGGTTAGCGTTATAGCAATCTTGGCTAGCAGTATAACATACTGATGCGGAAGCCCATCTTCGAGTCCTGGTAGTTTTCTGCGGGCCACTGACGGGCTACACCGTTTCACCTGAGGCACTTCCATGCCCTACGGCCAAAGGAAGCGATATGAGTGCTTATTGCTGGTAACGGGAAAGGCCAAGAAGGATGAGTAGGAGGAGGGAGAATGCTGTCCTTCTGCTGCCAGCGGGAGCGCAAAGTTGACGCTTGCGCTGTGCTCTAGGTTCTTGCAGCTTTGCATTCAGTATTCTCAGCTTTCCTTGAACCTTCAACCCGAAGATTTCAACCCCAAACCCAGAGGCCAGCTTCATCGTGGAACAGGAGCGCAATCATCCCGCGCCGAACTCGACGATGCTGTCCACCACCGCGGGGCGTCCAAGACTAACACTTGGGATCACCAGGGTTCCGAGTTTTGGGCTCTGGGGTTTTCAGGGCTGGGGTTGAGGGGTTAGTAGGGAGAACTACGCATCGTCAAACACAAGGACCTCTCTTAAACTATTGGGGTTTCCTGCTCAATTTGAGATCGTAGTCTTACTGCTGCTTTCCTAGGCCCTGCCTCCACAAAAGCAGACAGGAAAAAGAGAATCACAGCCTGTCACACGCGCTGCTCAAAGCAGTATCCGTTATTACTCCGCAGGAAGTCAGAAGATGTAGCATGGGAGAAGCAGCAAGACTCCATTTCAGAAATGGATCTTCGCGCCCACCCGCCTGTTAACAAACATTCCAAAGATTGGAAAGTTTTGTCCTTGTGGAGCAATGATTACTTGGCTGCCGCATGTGGCTGGTAGGAGGGCTTTGGGAACTCCAGCCCCCAAATTAGGACCCCAAAACCTTCAGTATGATTCTTTCAGGGTCCCAGTTTGGGGCCTGGGGTTCGTAAAGCCCGCTAGTAGTAGGGGGGCATCATTTGTATCAGGGGGTGCGGAATTTCTATATTTTCTATTACGCGAGGGAGCTGATTTCTGAACATCCTTACGTCATGCATACACGGTTTAGGGTGTGGAGCTTAGGGATGCGGCATCGGGGCTTGGGCATGAGCATTCAGGTTTTAGGGATCAGGGCTTATGGGTCAGGGTTCTAGGGTTAGGGTTTAGGTTTACGGACTACGGTTTGGGAATTGGGTTCAGAGTGCAGTGATCCCAGACTGGGCAGGGTGCCCAAGCAATGTGCAAAGCTTGAGAGGCTTAGTAACGTGGTTTACTGTTTAGGGTTACAAGCGCTTGCGGTCTAGGGTGTGGATCTCATACTAAGAAGGGCTACCCTAAATCCTAAACCCTAAACCCTGATAGATTGCTTATAATATCCCGAAGTATCCAAGTAGGAATCCCTGCACTGCACAGGGGAAACAGTGGGCCTAGCAAGGCTTCATTCGGTTGCTCTTGCCAGGGTCCATCGTAGAAGCCTAAATGCCTGCCCATATTACGGTCGAAAGTTCCTTGTATAATTATGATAAAGGTACCTCAAGCAGACTTCAACAAGTTATTTGTATTGGTTTAGATTTTCCTGCATGATAGTCCGTTTAAGCCTCCATATCAACCCAGTTTAGGTTTCATGCTCCATGTTTATTTTCTGGTTGATTCTCAATTAAATTACTAGAGATAAGTAAGACCATGTTAGCTTCTCATTCTTTGGGACTGTGCGGTCTTATCACCGATGATATGTGTTGATACGGACTTCAGAAGGCTGTGGAATGGTAGGGAGAATGGAGGGGCGCTCTGCCGGAGGCCCTGGTCAAGGCCCCCAGCGGCAGGCCGTGCCTAATCCAGTATCGATCCGGCTGGTCGGGTGGCTGACAAGGGCTGCAGCTGAGCAGCTCGCTCTCCAGGTGCGGAATACGGACGTCTAGACTACGACTATGTTATGCGAGCTAGGGCTAGATGATTGTAACGGGGTTTTGCATCACTCCAACCCCCCTATGTAAGAGTCCCATGATTGTCATAGTAGGTTTTTTTTTGCGCCCTATGTAACGCAAGCTTTTATGACATTTGCCTTTGCATTCTTGAGTATTGGGTTAACCCGGTAACCCAAACTCCCCTCATTGGCTGCTGCTTGCATCCAGTCTCGGGATGGCAAAAGCCACCGCCATGGACATGGAAACGATGACATACAGGAAAATCTGTCTGTATTCTGGGTTCCCAAACCTACAGTAACCAACCCCCTACCATACTACCCTGCCGAAATTTCCCCATTAGTTGCTGTTATTTACGGAGATCAGCGCTAGTCAAGGGGCAACTGGGCGATAGCAGGGTGGTTTGTTGGGGGGACGGCAACATTTTGGGGTTTGCTTCCAGCACTACTCTTTTCGCAGTTGGGCAGATTCCACCACACGCCTTCCCAACAGAGAGGCATTCTAGAAATTTCTCAGCTTGGTCGTCTAGAGACTTGCCAGTTGTGCAATCTACCTAACTGAGGTCATGTACGAGCAGCGCCCGGACAAGAAGGAAGAAGGCCTCTACGAAGGCTGGGCGCACGTCTGCCTTCAATTGCCACATGAGCTACTGTCAATAGGAACTATAGTCCCTATTAAGGAACCCATGTTCACCAATTATCTGGGCACTATTGAGTGTAGCTCACATGAGAAGCCACGTACCGGGGATATTTTGCGGGGCTCAGCAGCATCTTTGACCTTGCCACTTGCTTGGGATGGCACTGTGACCTGGATTTACGAAGCCAGTGGGTAGCTCACTTTGGAGGTGGTTAAAGAAAATACTTATTGGGCTTGCCCATCTCGTGGCAGCCGTCCCCTTCAACAGAAGTACACTGTGGACTTACCAGCGCATTCGGGGCATCAGATCGGATAGCGCCGCGACCCTGTAAGGGACGATTTCCCAACCCTCCGGATATCCTTCCATGAGCCTGCTGAGCTGTAACCGAAACCCGTCCCCAGAAACCCTAAACCCCAAACTGCAGACCCAAGCTCTAAGCCCCAAAGCCTCACACTCCACACCCTAAACTTTACACCCCAAACCGCAAACTCCATAGCCGACGTCCTAAACTCTTCACGTGGCAAGGCTGTCATAATTCGCTTCTCAGCAGCTTGGCCTATGCTTGCAGGGCTAAAGACGGGACAAAATTGCCTTCCCGTATTCCACTTGTTTCATTATGTCACAAGAACGCAATACTATGGAATATGTGATAGACAGCCGGGTGGGGATGCTTTGTGCTATGTGGAGGGGATTGCCCAATCTTGCCCCAAACCCTCAAAAGCCTAAAACGGTTTGCCAGCAGTCTAGTTGTCTTCCAGTCACCCAGGGATGACAATATGGTTCTTAATATGTTTGGTCCAGTATAGGAGGCATTGGGCGTTGGGCTTGCATCTTGTCAGTTGGGATTCAGGGTCATTGGGATGCATTTCCTTTGTTCCCTGCGAAGAATGGGCAGGCCCATTTCGATTCATTCCTCACAGTCGGAATGTGTAAGATAATTTAACGACATAATTACCATGTTAATGGGAAGCCTATCCAGTCATAGTCATCTGATATATAGATGTTGGGCACTGCTTTCAGCCAGTGGCAGTCTATAATAGAGGTATTTATTACAAGTATTATCCAGCTGTTGTTAAGTGGGGAAGATGTCTAAATTGTGTGGTCCTAATTCTGCAGGTTGGGGTTACCACATCTTCTAGTGGGAAGGAGGGCACCTGCTTGAACATGTCGTGTTGAACACAGTGCTCACCCCAGAAATCATATGCCTGGATATCTGCCATAGCCAGAAATGTGGCCTTTCATCTAGAGGGTATAGGGATATACACGGATAATTAGACGGATGGAGAGTCAGTTGGAAAAGAACACAGCAAAGTATATGGAAACTGGATGCATATCCAGGGTTTAGACGGGCTCGGGCCCTAAAACCTAAACCTTATAAAATCATTATGGTAGTTTCCATTTTCTTTTCCATTATCCCTATACAATCCCTATCCCTAAAACCTAAACCCTGAACCATCCTGAACCTAATAACACCTAAAGGGTAGTGTAGGCTTCCAGAAAATAAAGGCTCGGGGCCGGGGAATTGCAGACAGTCTGAAAGAAATGCGCTTCTTGGGTTAGGGTTTAGGGTATAGAGTTTAGGGTTCAGGGGTTAGGGTTTAGGGTATAGGGTGAATGAAGTGAGCCCAGATGCAAAAAGAGCTGTGCTCACGCACATCAAGGTAGTAATAACCGCTGTATTAGTAACGGCAAAGGTCTAGAAATAGTACAGATTATTGCAGGACGAGCAGTATGATTACTACTGGGATAGGTGCAGGGATAGCTACAGAGCAGGACCGATACGCAAACATCGGACCTACTGTCGATGGATGAAATAAACTACTGTAGTTCCTAGGACTTTAGGAACTTAAGGTGGTGCAGGATTTCCTCCATCGGCGGCAATAATTTGAAAATTGCCCAACAAGTTGGCTTAGCTTTAGTTACAGAAGAGTCTCATTTCTGTAATTAAGGCCGCGACTTGCAGCAACATTTGTGCCCTGTCAGATAACCAGCAGCCGACGACCATCATTGGTGGCATCACGCCACCAAGCTACTCCATCAACAGCGCATCCGCTGCCCACCAGGCATACTGACTCTTGTGCAGAGGATTGGGACCCTAAGACCTGTCCTCTTTTTGCTTGCTGTCAGGTTGAAATCCATCTTGGTAGCCATTCGCGTTCAGCTGTTTTTGCCGCATCAAAGCCATATGAGCCATAGTCTTAACTCCTAGTATCCCCCTTAATAACCCCATAGTACCCTATAAATTCCCTATATAAGCCCCTTTAAGGAGTTCAGACTATAGCTCATATCATGGCTTGTGAGCTTGCTGCAGATTCATGTAGCTCACCGTTGCCAGGGTAAGGATCGCGATCCGAAAGACGGAAAGGATGGCAAGGGGGAAAACGAGCGCGAAAAGAAGGCGGACGGGGTTCGCTGGGAGGGTTTAGGGTTTAAGGCTTAGGGTTCTTCCCGTACTAATCTGATTCAGAAGACTGCTACAACAACTCCTTGGACTGCTCATGTATTGCTAACTATTGCGGCTTCTACCCCTACTGTTACAAGCTCTACTCATCAGAAATAGTCGTGCGGCATGCATACATACATACATACATACATACATACGTGCATGCATGCATGCATGCATGCATGCATGCATGCATGCATGCAGGCATGCAGGCATGCATGCAGGCATGCATGCAAACTTCTACCGTTTCTACATATTTATGTATGCTCATACCCGCACATGATCTACCTTGACCTCTTCTATTACAAAGAACGAAAGAAACATCGTGAATGCCAATGACTTCGTTGTTTTTCGTCAGTCTATTTGTTAAGAGTTCGAGTATATTCTACTTTCCTAATTGCATCAGAAATATTCCTTCAAGTACAAAAAAGGCCAAACATCAGATAAACCGCCGGCATTCCAAGCATTGGTGGGCTCCTGTTTGAATCAAATTTCTACATGAAATGCCTGATCTTCCTGACTGGAGGCATCTCATTTCACTTGCAGAACAGGTCAAAATCTTGCAATCCTTGTTGAGCTTGGCTGAGGCTTAGATTCCGCTGCGTTTAGGTTGCAAGTGCTGGAAGGAACTAGTGGGATCAGCACAAATCAGCAAAGAGCAAACCACGCAGGAATGGAGTAGAAACTTATTTCACATACTGAGAACTATCCGCAGGTCTTCCTGGAACTGGAACCATTTTAGATTTCGGTCATCGTTGGTCTGGTGTTTTTTGCAACGTCCGATTGTCACCTAGATTTCGCAAGGAATTACAGGCCATCAGTGATTGGATCCATATGAGCTATACTCTAAACTCCTTGAAGGGGGTTATATAGGGGACTATATGGGGGAGAGTTCTAGGGCTTATTAAGGGGATACTAGGAGTTTAGACCAGGGCTCATATCCAGGCTTAATTGATGGTCACTTGGCAAAGGGCCCCAGACGGAAGTTCCCTGTTTGATGCTCCCCGCCCCTCTCCCAGATCCACCGAAGGTAGACGAGGGGTGGTGGTGAGCATATATATATATATACACATGTATTTATGTACATATATACAAATATACATATATATATATATGTCTCTCCCTCTTTCTCTATCCACCAACCTACAGACCAACTTACAAGGGTATCTACCTATCTATGTATCTCTCTGTCTGTCTGTCGGTCTGTCTGTCTGTCTGTCTGCCTGCCTGCCTGCCTGCCTGCCTGTGTGTCTGTCTGTCTGTCTGTCTGTCCGTCCGTCCGTCCGTCCGTCCGTCTGTCTGTCTGCGCACACACACACACACACACACACGCCGCATTTGCATATGTCTATATAAAGCAGTAGTGTATTGATATACACACACCGGACGCCTATGCCTCATGCTTCTTTGGTTGTTAGTCTTACTATGGTCGTAAACGAGGGTTTAAAGGTTTAGGGATTAGGGTGGGACTATCCTCGCTGGCCTCAAGGACGGTTCACATGCACTACTTGTCGCCTACGAGTCCGCCATGTTCCCCACTCTGGGAGATATGCAGCCGCTAGACGAAACGGTTTACGGCTTAGGGTCTGGGAGCCAATCGCTACTGTGTGCCATGAGCTATCTGGGGTAGGTTTGAACATGAACGTCCATTTATTTCTTACCTTCAATCACTATATAAGCTTAACAATTCCTCTTTACAGGGCCCGCCCCCAACTGCTCTAGCTAAGATGAGGAGCGTTTACGACCGTTTGTCAAAACTCGGGTGCCGGGATGACAAGAAGAACCACTGCGTGATGCCCACACAAGTATGGTTTGAACTTCGAAGCTTGAGAGTAATCCACGAGCTCTAATCTAAAGTCCTTACAATGGGTTATACATGGGCTTATATAAGGGTTATTATAGGGCTTATTAAGGGGGATACCAGTCGTTTAGACTGCAGCTCACATGACTTTGATTGGCAAAAGTTTCTCAAAATGATAGCGTGCTCTGTGAACAAGGGCGACATGTCGAGTTGGGATGCACGCTTGCATCAGTATGTATCCCTGAGATAGAAGTCTTGAATTGGACGCGTTCTCACCACAAATCGCCAGAAGTCAGCTATTTGGCTTTAGGCTTCACTTTTCCCCCCTCAGAACCGGAAGAGGCTTTAGGCTGAAGGCTGGCTGTCAGCTGATGGCGCCGGTTCAAAAAGGTTCTGGAGGTTCCTTTATCTCGCACGAAGGCATTGCCCCCAAACTCATCTAGCCCGTCTTCGGCCCCTACTGTCGATAGCAAACTTCTTGCATGACAGTAAGTAGGTACCTTACAAAGGGGGTTCTGGTATTTCAACATAAGTGAAGGTCATGCAGTCTTGCCCTAGCATTTGCATCATCACTTTGAGCAAAGCTTGCCCAGGAGCATTCTGTTCACCAACATGGCTGCGCTTGGATGGCACTGTTGGGTTGTTGACTCAAGTAGGAGAGGCTAGATGCAGCCCCATGTCATCTCAACGTGCTGCCGCCTTCGGATTTCTTTGAGTTAGTATCGTGCTTGTCCAGCAGTTTGGGTTTTCGGTTGATGTGGGTCCCGATTTTGGTTGCCCTGCTTTAGGAGTGCATTGAAAAAAGAAACTCCCACATAATGAGGGGTATCTGGCCCATAGAGCACTGTAAAGACAAGCCTTACATCCTATGAGCTATAGTCAAAGCTTATACAGGGGAGCATTTAAGGGGTCAAAAGGATAATATTAGGAGTCTAGATAGCTCACATCCCGAACCCTAAATCCTAAACCCTCAACCCTGTAGAGCCAGGCTGGAAAGGAAAAAGCCCTCAACTAAACGCTAACTAAACCCTAAAACCTAAACCTTATTGAAGTTGCATATTCAGGTGGCCATGGCACAAGACGGTGCTCTGGAGGATGGGTGTGTACTGGCTACTGTGTGCACGCCACGACTGCCACATAGTAACTCCAGTCTAAACTCCTTAAAAGGTTGAGGGTTCAGGGTCTAAACTCCTGAAAGGGGAGTATATCGGGGATTACCTAGGGGAGCTTTACAGGGGTTATTAAGGGGTACTAGGACTTCAGAATATAGCTCATATAAGACCTTCGTTAAGTATTTACGGTTGACGGCCTCGCCGCTATATTTGTTGGAGTACCATCTTGGTGAACTGCTAGAGGGTGAGGGCAGTATCCAAATATTGTCCTTGTTGCCAGCTTCGAGAATAACCTGTTTCTCTAAGTAACTATAGTTTGGGTGTATTCCATGCCTGTAGCTGGTAGCAGATTCCAGGGCACGTGATATAGTATTCAGGGCCCGGTCTACCAGCTCAGAGAGCTACATGGCATTTGCGTTTCATGCAACCCCCAGCCTTTGGTGGCGCAGGACTTGTGAGCTAAGATGATGATGATGATAATGATGATGGTGATGGCTATCATGGGCAGGTTAAGTTCACATTAAGCATGAGGCCATGGTGGGCCTGATTATGGCACCCCGTGGCGCCTCGTGGGTTGCAATGTCGATTTGCCTGCGGCGAGACCATGCACGCTGGTGTGCACCTATATTCCCCACGTAAGCAGACAGAATATGGATTCCCCACCACCATGTAAGCCAAAACCTTAGCAGAATATGGGGCGTATGGGGATCT